AGCAGGAATAGAAAATTAATGCAGAGCAAAAGAGTAAATAAATGATGCAAATGGATTTGGGCCTTTTTCATGTCCCTGGGATGATGGGGCCAAGATTTCTCAAAAGGGGGTAATTAAAGGGCTTAAAAATAGGGAATCAAGAGCTCCACAATGCCTACTCCAGGGCTTTTCACATTGTAAAGTGTGCACAACCCTCCTGGGGACTGTTAAAACAAAGTTTCTGATTCAGTGGGTTGAAGTGAATCCTGAGCATTTCTAACAAGCTCACTGGTCATGCCCAGGCTGCTGGTCCATGGACACTTGGAGCAGTAGGGATAGGCCTATCGTCCCTAGAGGAAAAGCAGATGAGGCCCTTCACAAACTTGCCTCTGCCACTCTCCACCCATACTCTTCATCACATTGTCACCAAGTCCTTAAGGACAAAGATTCATCTGTCTTGTTAGCAGTTGTATTCTCAGAGCCTAAAAGATGTGTGAAACATAACAGATGCTCAATAAATATTTGTCAAATGATGAATAAATTAATGTTAATTTTGAGCTTCTAAGAAAAAAAAGAATAGCAGAAAGGACAATCAGGGGCCCAAGAGAAGCAATCGGAAGAACAAAATGAAAAGCATGGTGGGAAGGGTGGTCCAAGAATAAGTATTTGAGGAAAGGCATTTCATGGACTATTTGAAGTTAAAGATTTGACTGGGTATCAGATTTCAGCCTAGAGGAAAACTGGAGGAGAACTCAAAAACAAACAAATCCAACTTGCCCAGAAAGTTATATGTCAATGCAACTAAAAGATACATATATTACATATGAACAGCTGATTTTCCATAGTTTTCATACTCGTGCACATGCATGCACATACGCCCCCCCCCCAACACACACACCTGCATGCACACAAGCACTGCAAGCACAGCGGTTTCCTTTACTCCACATTCCACTAATACCCTACTTGTGACCTTATCCTGCTGAGATGATAAAGCCAGGATAAATTCAGATTCGGGCTCCTAGCTAAGCCTCATCAATAAGTGTTCTTCTGTAAACTTGGGGAAGGAAGTGAATGATGTGTCTGCATGTCCGGCCAACATAAATCTCAGCTGGGTCTGGCATGAAAAGTCCTCACTTGAATGGGGTGTGAGGCTACCTCCAGGTCTGGGCTGTTTGCCTACAGCTGTGCTTGTTTTTGTTTTGGTTGCAAAGTCACCAAGACCTCTGGAGAAACAAAGCAACTAAGTTTTTTGTTTTGTTTTGTTCTAATGAGTCAAACTTGCCAGGGACATGAAGCTGAAGTCTGCCCACAATATTCTTACGCTTCCCTCACACAAAGCCAAAAGTTATAGCCAATAGCTCCTTTCCTTTGTCTACATGAGCTAATATTCTGTACCCTTGTAGCCATGTCTCTGTTTATAACCTTGGGCTTTGGGAACCAGTGAGAAAAATTGTTTTCTATAAAAAAATACTTTCCCATCAAATATCATTTTTTTGGTTTGTTTTCATTTCTAAAAATAAAGATCAGTTAGAAAATGAGGTAAAGAGAACTGCCCTTTCTTTTCTAATGGGGAACAAACATCTGGACTTTCCCCACCTCTGATTTCAGTTTCATGACAACACAGTGTGACTTGGATCCGTTTTTGGGTTTCACCCAAAAATGAGAAGCCCATTTATTTCTCTATTTCACTGTTTTTCATGAACACTGAGTACGCCCAGCCCTGCTGTTAGTGGCTCATTGCACTGAGAAGGTCAGGCCAGGAAGATTTAGAGAAATACAGCACAAGAGCATGAGTCATTTTTAAGAAGGTGTCCTGAGGAACCAAGCTTGAAGTTTGCCCTTTTTTCCACTCTGACGGCAATCTTGAAAGACTTTCAAAATGCCAACAGAACTGACTTTGGGGGCCCTCTTCATGTCTGTGTGTGAAGCTTGGAAGGAAGTTAAGGGGAAACTGTGACACAGCTCCCAGCTAGGACTGGCCAACTGGGCACCATTGGGAGTGCAGCAGAAGTTGCTGTGTGCCCTTTCACAATTGGCCCAAAGGGCCCTCCAGGGAGCAATCAGGAACACTGAGTTTACTCATCCAGGGAGGTTTCTGAGGCTCACCCTGGCTGGGGCAGGAGGCACTATTTTAGCTGTCACTTCATGGATTAAATGCACCACCATAACCCTTAGTACTTACGACCCATTGTTTTCGCAAACATTTCCATGGAAGGGTGATAGCAAGTTTGTTACTAAGTCTGGTTACAAGCCCAGTGACTCCACTTGCAATTCTTATGAGATGTGTAGTAAGTTCAGCTGCATGAAACCAAACCATTTCTCATATTTCCTTTCACAGATGCTTGAGTCCAGAGACAGGCACAATGGCAAACAGCAAAAGGGCTGGAGGTGTTTGACTGGTGTGAACTATCGAGATGAACTCTTTCTAAATCCTGGTTAACCAGCGGGAGCTAACCTGTTTTTCTTATAAAATTAATCTTGACTGGCCATAGGTCTGTGGAGGATGCTTTGGAATAAGGCGGTCATATCCTACCAGAGCCATTATTTTGCTTTCAGTGAAATAAAGGCATCCATCACGATTTTCACCCATGTTTTCTCGGGTGAGTTTCAAGATCTCCCAAACTGTTATGCTCTAAATTAGCTTCCAAGCGTACAATTCCTGTACCCCTGTTTTCTAAAGTCCCTAATAAAAGCTAAGAGTCAAATAGCAACTTTTCAAAAAAAAAAAAAAAAAACTTCTCATTGAAACCACATGTTCCCAAGTGGCACAATAGCCAATTCTAAGATAGTTGAAAAGATCTTTAGACGCACCATTGAAGTGGGTACCAAATCTTCAATGGAGTTCATCAAAAGCTCATCCCAAAATGTCCACAACTTTCAGAGGTCATGGCTTTGTGTCCTTTAAGGGGCATCAACACCAAGAATGCCTTATCAGGCTGTGACCGCTCTTAAAGAAAAAGAAATCAAAAAGACTGTAGTGCAGTGACAACCCTAGGCCCTGCATAGCACCACATCTGCAAGACTTGTTATATCTGATTTGAGAGATAGAGTCATTTAGAAGATCCTATAGAATCTGAAATATGGAGACTAGACTTAGGATAAAGTGCAATGATGAGTGCGATTCAAAGATATACTTGACATGGTTTCATAAACAACATATAGGTGCTTCTCTCATGCCCCTGTCTGCCCATCAAATACCTATCAAGCTCCCTAGGTGCCAGGCACTGTGCTCAGCACTGGGCATTTGATGCTGACCAAAATAATTACTGACTCCCAAGGCCAAATAATAACATTTTGGTAACAAATTTCTGCTCCTATTATAACTCTCCTTTCTCCTCGCTGGCCTGCCCAGAAAATGCCAGCTTGAAGAAAGAACAAAACCTGGACACAAAATCATCCCACCAGTCCCACAAAGGGGTGATATCGCAGTGTTAAAACATGTCTGTCACTTTACTGGCACTTCTCCCATCCAGAAGTTATGGGCTCTCTCCCCTCCCTTTGAATCTGGACTGGCCCTAACAACACGTTGTAACCAATAGAAAGTCACAGAAGTGATGCTGTGAGACTTTCAAGGTTAGGTCAGTAAAGGCGATGTAGCTTCCACCTTGATTGCTGGGACACTGTCTTTTGGAACCCTGAGTCATCATGTAAGAAGTTCAATACCCTGAGGCCACATGGAGAAGCCACATGTTGGCATTCCAGTCAGTTGTCCGCATGTGAATCCTTCTAGCCCAGGAGACAGATATAGGAGCAAATAAGCCTTGGGATGATTCCAGCCCCAGCCTTGAGTTACTCTTGGCCTTCTTCATGGAGCAAAGGCAAGCCATTCCTACTAGGTACTTTCTAAATTCCTGACCTAGAGAATCCATGAGTAGATAAAATTGTTGTTCATTCTCCTATGTTTGAGGCAGTTTTTTGTACAGCAATAGTAACTGGTATAGATGGTCACACCAAGGGCTAGCACACTCCTCTCCCCACACAGCCTCCATCAGGATTCTCTGTAGCAGAAGGCATGCTTCCCTACTGTCACACTAAGATGCTGCCATCAGGCTCTTCCACTTCCATTCATTACCTCTACAGCTTTCCTCCTCAGCACTCTGCTCCAGGCTATCATTGCTGCCATATCCCTACCAAAGTCTTAACTTTTAGCCTTGCTGTGACCTTCAGCCCCTACAGGGGCAAGGGCTGCTGCTGCTCTGTCATTATTGGGCTGGAGGAGAATTCAGAGAGCTGTAAGAGATCCCAGGCCCTGGAGAAACAGGAAGGACTGCAATCACATCCCTTTCCTTCCCCTGCCCAGGTACCACTGAGAGACTCAGAACCAGTCACAGTGAACCAATCACCAATGTATCAAAAATATCCATTCTTGAAAGGTAGGGAGTCAGGAACTTAGTTTAAACAATTTCTCTGGCCAGCCCACCCCCTTAATATGATGTTTAATAACAGAGACTCTGGGGTCAAATCCTGGCTCCATCACTTTCCAATTCTCTGACCTTAGATAACTCACTTAAACTCTCATACTTCAGCTTCTAGTCTGTAAAATAGGAAAACAGTACCTACCTCATAAGGTGGTTGTCAAGATCACAATGAGGGAATCTGTGTAAAGTTCCTGGCATGTAGCAAATACTCAATAAATTTTAGCTATTTTTAATAACATCTTCGCTGGGAAGAAGAATGCCTTGTGACTTACCCCTTGTAAGACTTGAAAGCTGTCATTGTTGGGTGGTGGGTCTTGATCTGGGTCGACACCAACTCTATAAATCACCAGGGAGAAATATAAGGAGAAAAATGGACAGTATTAGTTTGGACCATAGAAGCCATGCTGGCTGAAAGTTGCCAAGAGGCTGACCATCTTCCTGAAGCAGAAGGAATGGTTAACTAAAAGAGGACGCCTGTCATGTAGAAGTCGTGAGAAAGAGGTTATATACCACATCATATCCCAGGAGGTAGGAGGGGTGATAAATCCTACGTACTTATATCCTGAGCAAGGCCTCTGGAAAACAGTAACACCTGGCAACTGTCTAGCTGCCTTTCTGTATCAGGTGGTCCCAGTTATCAAAATGTGGGTCCTACTGCACCAGGTCCTTTCCTCTCTGCTGCTTCCTCACTTCCACCCGGACCTGCTTTTATTTCTCTAACCTTTTATTATGCAACTTTTCACATACCCAGGGAAATGCTGAAAGAATTTAACAGTAAACACCTATATACCCACCACCTAGATTCTACCATTAGTATTTTGCTGTATTTTCTTTATCTATCCATCTCTCTACTGTCCATCTTATTTTTTAGATGAATTCAAATAAAGTTGCAGACATCAATATACTTTCCCTAAATACTTCACCATGCACATCTCTAACTTTTTATCCTGGTGCCCCCATGTCCTCCCACAGCAGAAATGACCTGAGAACACACACATTTGAGATCAACAACTGAAGACAGAAAGCAAAAGTAAAGTGGCAAAATCCACTTACAACAAATTTCATAAAACAAGGTATTTGTCTTGACTTAATAATATACCAACTGTTGCCCTATGCATCTGTTAATTCTTAATTCCTATACCTTCCTCATTCTGACATAGATGACATGGATAATATGGGGCAATGGGGGAGAAATCAAAGATACCAGGAAAATTATCTATCTTCTCTCACTCCCTCTAGTATCACAAAGAACAGATGGTATCATAATAGGTAAACCAAGATTACAGCTTTCAGCAGGTCTGATCTGAGCTTGGAGAGGTGCCGATTGGCCTTGACCAGGGGTGTTAGCTGTAGTCCAGTACCAGTGTGCTAATTCCAATGAGCAGACAGTGGACACACAAGGCCCTGTGCATGCATGGTTTACTTTTTCCCCTCTCCTTCCCTCTTCTCCACTTGTAACGCCTAGGATATTTCTTGAGAAAAGAGACTAACGGAAAAGGGGAACAGAACACAACACAGATATACTCCCTCTCTCAAAGCCAACCTCTACTCTGTTTTATTCTAGGCTTGATTGCTAACCCAAGGTGCATGCCCCTGGACAGGGGGAATATAGAAGAAAAGGGAGCAGTTACCTCATATTTTGCTGAAGGCAAAGCATAAAACAGCAATCTGAATTCATGTATTCAGCAAATATTTATTGAGTGCCTACTATGCCAGGCACTGTTCTGAGCACTTAGTTAAAACTCATAGTGCACCTGGCACCAGATTTCCTCCTCATGGGCCTGAGGTTTGATGGGATCTTTGATGTGGACTTTGCTGTGTCTAGAATCTGCTTCTAGGCCTGGGTTTCTGAGGGCTGGAGGCTTGCCCTCACAACTGGACATTATCCAGGGACTATTGAGAAACAAATCTCACAGAGATTTTTTTACATGAAATTCATCTAATTCAGGGGTCCCAGGGCTGCCCACAAAAGTCACATCAGAGCCTCAATGCACCTAATGTGTCTAATGTACTAAAGCAGTAGAGGAGAGGTCACATATTGAATTCCTAGCTGTTGATCCTGAACCCTTACCTGTTTGAGAGTCTCTTAATGTCTTTACACAGAGAAAAGTCCTCTATATGGTAGTTTTGTCAGCATTTGTAAAATCGACAGCTAGGAATCCAATATTAGGCCTTGTTCTGTAGAGTCTATAGCAGCACAAAGCCACTTCATGTAAGACTGACTCAAATGAGTTCTCGGTGCAGACTAAGAGGGGCAGAGGGCTGGTCACTCCAATGTCTCCCAGATAGCGTACCAGAATGCCAGGTGACCCAGCATCCCACAGAATGGGGGCAGCAGCAACAATATTATGTGATCTGAATGGCATGAAGTGCAGTATGGCCAAGTGTATGGTAGTTTAGATCTGACACTAATAATCTCTTCTTTCTGTACTGAGTTTTGAAACAGGTATACTAGCCTTTGTAAGTGGCTTCCATGTCAGTAGAGATAAAACAAATTGATCTTATCAGCCTAGGTGAAATAGGAAGACTATGGGTAGGAGAAAAGGATGAAGTGTGCCCTGTACTACAATGAAGAAAATAAAGCCAAATACAGTAAAAGTTGTCAAATGAAATTAAGCCCCCTCTATTCTTTTTACTAGGAGGAAAAATGTTTTGTTTAACAAGAACTAAAATAAATTCTGTTTAATAAGAACTGCTTATAAAAACTAGGTTTTGACTATTTTTACTCAAGTCTTGGCAACATCAGTGGAACTCATCTATTGACTCTGGGCTCAACAAGCACGAAATATTGGAAAACAGGATAAACTCAGAAAATTAGGGCCACCCTAACCTTATCCCAAACTCAGGACATTCGACATTTTGTTTGGGGGAACTTAAGAGTGATCCTAGATCCACACTGTCCAAGAGAACTTTCTGAAATTATGGCAGTGTTCTATGTCTGCGCAGTCCAATGTGGTAGCCGCTAGTCACATGTGGCCACTGAGCACTTGAAGTGTGGCTAGTACGACTGATTGTGCAGAGACAGAACCCCAAGCATCATAAATATGAAGTAAATCTTTGCTTGAACTGATTACTTAGACAATGGAGAGATTCCCCATTTCATCAGTATATAAAGTAAGTTTTAAAACTCTCTGAAAGCTCTTCTTTACAGATAAATGTCATCTTAAAACATGAAAAGAATGAGAGAATTACAATATCACCATTTTCCATTCCTAGTGTAATAATTGTTTCACGCAAGGGTCATCGGTAGATAATTTAACAGTAGGTAAATTGTTGTTGGGAATCTGGCTATTCATATGATGTCAAAGGGTCACTCTATAGATTACTTTTGAGTTACAAAGGGAAAATGGTATTTTCACAACAATGGAGAGGCCTGAGGTTTAAAGTGATCAAATTTAACATCACTAATAAAGGGACAGCCTGACAGTACATGCCCCCTGATAAGAACTGTATAATAAGAAATGTATAACACTTTTACAGTATTTTGAGCAAAAATTATTATCTATCTCTAGTCACAAGGAAAACAAATCAGAAAAAAACAGATTGTGGGATATACTATGAGATAACTATCCTGAATACTTAAAAAAAAAAAACAACCCTCAATGTAATAAGAGACAAAAAAGTTGGAGGATTATTCTAGATTAAAAGAGAGTAAAGAGACATGACAACCAAAGTAAACTTTGATTGGATACTGGGTCATGCATACATGTGTGTATGCGTATGTGCGTGTGTGTGTATAAAATTCATTCTTTTCCTCAGGTCTGATGAAGGTATTGTGATCATGCAGGAGACTAGACTCCTAGGAGGCAGACATTGAAGTATTTAGGGGTAGAAAGTCATGATGTCTGCAATGTACTTTGAAGTACTCTGAAATGGTTGAGAGAAAGCAAGGGAGAAGACAAAAATGACCAAAAACCGGTATGATAAAATGTTAACAATTGGTGTATCCAGGTTAGAACTTGGGTATTCACTGTTCCATTCTTTCAATTTTTTTAGAGATTTAAAATTTTTCACAATTTAAAAAGAATATTTAATTATATCCTTGGTGAAAATGTTTCAGAAACATATCAGTATATTTTCTTGTCTCTCTAATCTACTCATATTGATGACTCAGGATTTCATATTATTTCAGGGATGGAAAACCACAAGTTGTAAAGGTTAATGGACACAGAATGCTATAATAGGTAAATAGTTAGATACAAATTCTAGTAATTATGTGGTTTTCTTTCCCAGATAAATCCTGGAATGTTTTGTTGAGATCCTCCTTCTCCTAAAAGTGAAGGGCAAGGAGAAAAATGCTAGTTAACTGAAACAAATGGTTAATCAAATTCTGACCTATGTAGCTATCTTCAGATCTAGTACACATCCCCTGAAAATTCACAGTTCTGAAGACAACCCTATCCAGTGCCCTCTTTCCTTGCTTTTACCCCCTCTGCCATGGAAGTTTTGACTCTCGTTGTAGCCACTTGCTATCAACTACCCATCTGAGATGCAGCCCAAACTCATGATAGTATGGAGCCTAAAAGGATTTCCTGTGCCTTCCTACAGGCAAAGAAACATGGGAAAGCCCCTTGGAGTACCTTGGAGTTCCTGCTACTGGTATAAGTGCTGAATAGGAGATTCCTGAGGAAGGAAGCAAATACCTGCTTCCTGGACTGCTACTGCTTTTTAAATGCCAAAAGAAAACAGACCAGGTGCCCTGAGACTCAAATGGTATTCTGACTGCTTTCCCCATTCAAGGCTGTTTAATAATTTCTTTTCTGGCAAGGTTGATGGCCCCTTGGATCAATCCCCAGGGATGATGCTGGATCCCTATAAAGTACCTCATCCTTGGGACAGGGCTCAGATCTAGTCTCTTGGGACAGGAGGTTGAGCAATGGGCCAGGGTGTTTGGTGATATTCCTGGAAGCAAAAAAGACCAGGTACAGTATTTTAAGTATAATGCCTCAGAAGACTTGGGGATCCCCTGACTTTTTGAAATTTCTAGTTTCAGGCAACTGTCCACAATATATATTTCTCTCCTGACCTGCTGTAATGCTTTTGATCTAGGAAACTTTATAAATCTGGAACTTTGTGAGCTATTTTATTACATCATATTTTACCATTCCCCTGATACATCAGGGTTGATACATCGGAGCACATGCAACAGTCTTTTCTTCTGGGATAAACTGAAATATCCTTATTAAGAATGAGATAAATGTGGAAATCCCACACCAAATGAGAAAATAAAGCAATCAAACTGATGTACTCATTTTGGAATAAATAGAAAAGATCAATAATTTGCTTCTGGTATAATATGTACATTTTGATTAACTGCCATAAAAATGCCATGAAATCTCAAAAACTTTGAAGTTTTAGAATTTCTAAAGTTTAGAAGTTTAGAACTATCAACTTTAATTGATAGAGTTTTTTATTTGAATGGCTGAGGTCCTAAATAATTTAAGGAATACGAGACACACATCTTCATATAAAACTTTGAACAACAGATCAGAATCTGAATTCTCTCATGTCCCAAATGGAATGACTTGCACTTTGCCTGAAAGACCTTCCTTCCTGAAGGTGGAATATTTCAAAGGAGAGGGTTTTCTCAGCAACTTAATTGGTACCTAAACTCAGATCTCCAAAAATGAATGTATGTGTGCATAATTTAGACAGTAGAAACAAGTTGAACCCAGGAAACTTAAGTACTTCAATTAATTGTATGCATGTCATTACAGTATACATTCAGGGCCTAGTGATATCCCAAGACCCATGTGTCATGACAAGTATCACTGCATTCAACACTGTGCTCAAAGAGTGAAATATTTTCACAATGCCAAAAACAGGTCAAGCCTATTTTGCTTTTGAATTATCTACCAGCACCCAGAATCAGATGAGGAAGAGAGCATGCAGGTTAAAGATACAGAAGGGAAAAAAGAAACATTGAAGTCTTAACTCTGATTGCCCAACATTGCCACTCTTAGGCATAATCAAATCATAAACTTGGATGGACACTGAGAAACAAATTGCATTAGAAGAGTCTTTATCTTCTGGTTTAAAATTTTTTTTTTCATATCTTCTGAATCACCATGATAAGGTATAAGTATACAAAACCATACTTAAAAACTAAAACAGCGTTGATGCTTAATTAAGATAGTGTAAGCCATACCCCAGCCATGGCTGAAATATAAAGTTATAGTTCTCTTTATGAGTCAGAAGCTTTGTTTACTAGATCATAAGCAGAATTTTGTGGGGAAAGTATTTGCGCCTTTGCAAATGGGCTGCTCCTAACACTAAGCTTAGTTGAAGAAGGAGACACTCCCCAACTCTGGCTTTGGTGTTGACACAATGTCCAAAATGCAGGGAAAGGGAACAGAATCTCAGGAACACTGATATATCAACTGGCCCACAGAAAAGGTGGAAAAATGATTTGGCTTGACCTGACCTCTTGCCCCTTTGCTAAAGAGGTTGGCACACACAGGAAGGAAGAAAAGGACAAACAGCATAAAGAGAAACATCTTAGGTTAGAAAGAGGAGAAAAGCCAGGCCCGGTTAATTCGTTTCTCAGGATGTCCTTGTGTCACCTGAAGTACTGCCAGCTGTGTTCATTCTGGTCCTCTTCGAAGGGCTCCTTGACGCCAACTCTGGGCAGCAGAAAAAGGGAACATTGAGTGTGACAGGGACCACTGGGGAGCCAGGAACTCTGTGCACATGATCTGGATCATGTCCATCAAAGAATAGGCTGTTGAACTTTAAGCATAAATCCATAAACTCTCTTAAACTGTCCCCATTCTCTAAAACCCAGAAAGGCAGAGAGGCTGCTTAATTTACATTTAAAGCAACAATGTTAAGAGCCAGGTCAAATAAAGATCCATTAGGAATGAAGATACAACTCTAAAAATATAATGTAATGAAATCAGAGGAATAAATGTAACTCATAGAATATGAATTTATACAGTTTTTTCAGGAATTCATCTGTTTCATAAAGCAAGACACATCCATACAAAAATATAAAACAAAGTTTTTAGTAGACACATATTTGAAGTGTTACAGATATTTTTACACGTATGTGACAGAGCAAAAAGCACTGTTATTGAAAACGGCAACAATACTTAAGAAGACAAAGATGGCCTTCTTTTCTAAACAAGTAAATCAGGTTGTCCATGGGTTCAACCTGAAAATCAGGAACCCAACTTGTGCTATTCTTTGTGTCTTGTGGCCTTAGAGTTGACATGATCCATTTTCACCTTCTTTGGTAATTAATGGGTTATTCAAAGTGCATTTGAAATTCACCGTCATACTAAGAGCAGGGTTTCACAACCTCAGCATTATTGATGTTTTGGGCCCTGGCCTCTATACACATGATACCAGTAGCACCCACCCACCCCCAGTTGAGGCAACCAAAAACATCTCCAGATATTGCCAAATGTTCCCTAGGGGAGGCAAAATTCCCTCAGTTGAGAACCACTTCATGAAATCATGTATCCTCGTATCCTCAATGGGAGGGGCGGGGGGAGGATACTGCCCCACAGGTGTGAAAATTGGTTTCAGTAGGACAAAAACTTTTTTGACATTGCAATAATTTGTAGACCTATAAAGCTTTCAAAAAAGCTAGTTTCTTTTAAAGATTTATAGTATATAACCAGATATATAGATCTGTGATATTAAAATTTCACAGAGAGGTAATTGGGAAAAGTATTTTTAAAGGCTCCTTGAGGGTGGAGGGTGATAATCAAAAAAAGGTTGAGAAACACTGTACTAGACAATGCCCAAATTCTCATGCTACTAATATCCCCTGAAATATGCAAGTAAGACCATGATGCTTCTTAAAGTGATACTTTTAATTAGTCATACATTTAGACTGTGACTTATTCAGGCTATATATTACTATATTATTGAAAAATTGTGACAAATTCCAGAAAAACAAGCTAGATTCCATTAATGTAAGATTCACTAGTAATAATAATAATAGTAATCATACAGTAGCAATGCTATGATTAGTAATAATAATACGATAGCTAAAATATACTAAATGCTTACCATGTGCCAAAAGGTACACATTTAACAAGAAAATTCTTTATTACATTTATTAATTACCATATTTTATTCTCACACTGTTGTCATCCCTATTTAACTGGTAAGGAAACTGAGAGTTAGAGAGGTTAAATAAGTTGTCCAAAGTCACAAAGGTACAAAATGGTAAAACCAAGATGGCAAGTGAAGCTCTTAGACCCCAGATTCCCAGTTCTCCTTCCAGGATACTGCCTTTGCTTACAAGGTGGCCTCTTGAAACTCTTTAAATATATCCAGTTACAAATGCTATTACATAAAGAACTCAGGGCTTCTCCCTGCCTTTATTTCTTAACTTATCTTACCAAGAGCTTTATCTCACTCTAACAGGATTATATCCAGCAGAGTGTCCTCACTTGTCCTTGAGTGATTACATTACTGTACTCTGGGGAAGGAAGGTTACCCGTTCATTTGGCTGACTGAGTGTGTGCCATTCCACCTTCACCACTTCATGTGTGTGTCACTTGAAGCTGGGGGCTCCAAGATGACAGCCACCGTGCGGCCAAAATATGCTGAGGATTCATACAAGACTCACCAGCTGAAATAATCTTGTTATCATTTTTTTAAGTTGCTAAAATTTTGTCCTTTGTGAATAACACTTGCTCAAGAGACTAAGAAAAATATCATGTAGTTTGATAGAAAAATAATTTGCCATTATGTTTTAAAATATCAATCTCAAAATACCAATTTAAAAAGATAAGTTGGATTTCTGAAAAGCAGTGACCTGGCTTTGGATTTGTGGTTAAATTGATTTTTATTTTATACACAGACTAGAAATTAGTCATAGTTAAAAATCACAGCTAACTCCTGATTATTTATGGTGGAACTCTGAGTCCTACCCTGGGCTTCTGACTTTTGAGCAGGGCCTCTGTCAGCAGTTTGGAGAAGTAAGAAACAAGTACATATTGATCTTACTGAGGTCACAGAGGTCAAAACACCACATTTAACTTCAGGGGGTTTCTGAATGAACTTAGAATAAGAAGCTGGTTTATATAAATAATTCGTATCCATTAAGTAACACAAAAAGCCACAAGCCAGAAAAATCAATCAGTCTCATTACCTTATTTCTGAGGGAATTTCTTTTGATATAATCTCTGTAAATGTCAGTTTCTACACTTACGTAGTCACTATTTATACAAATCTAGGAAAAAGCAGTGAACTGATACCATATGTGTTTTTTTACCAATGGCACACTTTGCTTCATTATGTTGTTTGGGTACAGTTGGACAGAAAGGAGATGATAAAGATAGGAGCAGAAATCAATGAAATTGAAAACAAAAACAACAGAGGAAATCAATGAAATAAAAAGCTAGTTCTTTGAAAAGATCAATAAAATTGACAAATCTCTAGCAAGACTAGGAGAAAAAAGAGGAGCTACAAATCACCAATATAAGGAATTATCAATTACTGAATTACCAATACCAGTGATATCAGGGGATATCACTATAGATCTCAGACACCAAAAGGATAAAGTAATGCTATGAGCAATATAAATATGATAATGTAGATGAAGCAGACCAATCTCACAAACTACCATAACTCACCTAATATAAAATAGATAATCGTAACAGCCCTACAACTACTAAAGATATTGGCTTCATAATTTAAAAAACCCTAGAAAAGAAGTCTCCAGGACCAGATGGTTTCACTGGAGAATTCCATAAAACTTTTAAGAAGAATTAACACCACTTCTACATAATCTCTTCCAGAAAACAGAAGTAAACATTCTCCATTTTATTTTTTGAGTCTAGGACTATTGTAATGCCAAAACCAGTCAAAGATATTAAAAGCAAAATGGAAAAAGAAAACAAGAAAAGTACAGACACACCAATATTCCTCATGAACACTGACACAAAATCCTTAAAAAAATATCAGCTAATAGAATTTAGAAATATGTACAAAAGTTATATATCACAACCAAATGGGGTTTATTTTAGAGAAGCAAGGCTAGTTTTATATTTGAAAATTAATCAGTGTAACCCCCTATATTAACAGGCTAAACAAGAAAAATCATATGATAATTTCAATTGGTACAGAAAAATCACTTGATAAAATTCAACATTTGTTCATGATAAAAAATAAAACCTCTTAGAAAACTAGCAATAGATAGAAAACGTCCTTAACTTGATGACAAACATCTATAAAAACCCTACAGATAACATCATACTTATTGGTGAAAGACAGAATGTTTTCCCCTTACAATCGGGAACAAGGCAAGGATTTCCACTCACATCACTCTTATTCAACATAGTACTGAAAGTCCTAGCCAGAGCAGTAAGTCATGAAAAGGAAATAAAAGGCACACTGGTTGGAAAACCGAAATAAAATGTCTCAATTTGCAAATGACATGATGGTCTACATAGAAAATCCCAAAGCAGCTATAAAAAATAAATTAAAAAAACCCTCGTAGAACTAATAAGTTTGACAAGGTCGCAGGATGTAAGATCGACATAGAAAAACCAACTGTATTTCTAAAATTAAAGATACAATATCTTAACAATTGCTCAAAAAAGAACACTTAGATGTAAATCTAACAAACCATGTACAGGTACTGTATACGGAAAACTATAAAATACTGATGAAAAAAATCAAAGATCTAAATAAATAAATAGAGAAATATGCCATATTCATAGATAGGAAGACTCAACAGTAAAGATGTCAATTCTCTTCAAATTGATATACAGATTTAACACAATTCCTAGGAAAATTCCAGCAAAAAATAATTTTTAAACATTTAGACAAATGTATTCTAAAATGTATGCAGAAAGAAACCTAAATAGCTATGATAGTTTTGAAAAAGAATAAAGTAGAAGGATTCTCTCTACCTGATGCTAAGGCTTTTTATATAATTATAGTTATTAGGACAGTGTAGTACCAGTGGAGGGCTAGACACATAAAACAATGGAGCAGAATGGAAACATACTCATATGCATACAGCCAACTGATATTTGGCAAAGGAGCAAAAGTAATTTAATGAAGTAGGGATGATGTTTTTAACAAATTGTGCTGGAATGACTGGATAGCAATAATAAAATAAAATAAAGCCTCCATCTAAACCTCACATCTTATATAAAAATTAAATCAAAATGGACTCACAGACTTAAACATAAAGTGTAAAACTAAAACACTTTTAGAATACAGAAGGAAATCTTGGAGACCTAGGGCTTGATGAAGAGTCCTTAGGCATGACACCAAAAGCACAATCCACCAAAGAAAAAAATGACAAACTATACTTCATCAAAATTAAAACTTCTACTCTATGACAGACATTTTTAGAAGAATGAAAAGACAAGCTACAAAGAGAAAATGTTTGCAAACCACAAAGCTGACAAAAGACGAGTATATTGAATAAAGAACTCTCAAAACTCAATTTAAAAAATCCAATTAGAAAATGGACGAAAGACTTGAACAGATACTTCACCAGAAACGATGTATGATCGGCAAATAAGCACACAAAGATATGTTCAACATTATTAGCCATGAGATAAATGCAAATTAAGACCACAATGAGGTATTTCACACTCTATTAGAATAGCTGAAATGAAAAAAATAATAATTGTGATAACACCAAATGCTGGCAAGGATATGGAAGATCTGGATTTCTCATACACATAGGCATGCACATAGCCATTTCCTGACCCCTCACTATATGCTAACTGCTACGTTCTAAGTGCTATCAATATATTACATTAATATTTTCACAAAAATCCAATTATCATATTATATTCATACAAATACAGCTTGTATATTTCAGGAAAAAACTGCCCATGCTCTCAGCTCTGGGTAGGACTATTTTAATGGCCCATTTTTTGAAAAAGGTTATAAGAAGTGGAAAATGTTACAAGTCAACTCTCTACCCTCAGTGGAAAATTATTTCATCCTGTATATGTTGCAGCAGTGGAGGGAGGGGGCGCAGAAAAGGACTTATAAAATAACATGAAAAACAAACATGATTCGATAAGGCTCTGGGCATCCAGGGTACCAACTGGGTAACCGAATAGGAACAGGAAGTAATTTCAGAGGTAACCGAATGCAAAGATTCTTAACTGTGTGCAGGGCAAACCTCCTTTCTTGCCCTTTATCCTGCTACATAGAACTAAGATGGTATCATCTTATGACTCAAATTTCAAGCTAAAAAATCTATACATTTTCTTCTTCAGGCTTATATTCCCACAGATGAATTATTTTCCTTAATACAGCACTTGAGATTCATGCCAGGAAACTGAAATTCTAATCATCCCAAATTTTATGACATAAAAACAGTCCCTAATACATCAAGCCTTCTTACAGGCATTATAGTACAGTGGTTAAGAGTGTGGACTCTGTGGCAAGACTGCCTGGATTCAAATCCCAACTCATCTACTCAAACCTTTGTGACCTTGGGCAAGTTATTGCTCTGTGCCTCCGTTTCCCCAACTGAAGATAGTAGTAGCTCCCTTATAGGAATATTTTGAGAATGACCTTAATATACACGTGGCATCTAGAACAACATCTGCAGCACAAGTGTTAGTTATGTCACTATCACTGATTAAGCCTCACATAGGTTCTGCAGTCCCACCTGGCTCTGAGGCTGAGACATGCCAGCCCAGAAATGGTACAATTGGCAGTGGCCAAGCCCAGGAATTCCTGCCTGCTATCGATACAAAAGTCCCCGATGCAGGAGACTATTATCTCCAATTTCAGTTTTCTCCCTAACTCTAAGGATGACTGACTGCTAGATCTTTGTTCATTTTCTCTCCTCTAAGCTAGGTATACTTTGCAGCTGTCAGTTCCATGTATTCTACAGTCTAGAGAAGGCAATAGAAACTAAAAGCCTGCAGAGAACGACGACAACAAAAAACATTGCCACCTTGTGGCCTTTCAGAGTATTCTCCTTCACACCTCTGCACTACCCAAGTATCTTACTTATTCTGATCACTTTCACCTTCTGCAGACTCAAAACTGAGACAGGTGGAGTGGCAAGAGCACCTCCAATGATGCAGACCACACATTTAGAGCTGAAGGGATCTAGAGAAAATCCGATAGTGTACTTTCATTTACCATTAAGAGAAATTGAGGCCCAAAGACAGGAGGGGCTTGCCTTAAATCGGTGCCAGAGTTGGGCTGTGGGTCTCTTGACCCCTGTTCCAATGTCCTCTCTACTGTAAAGTGCTGGAGTTCACAAGCACAGTTTGGAATTTAAATGCTCTTTAAAAATAAAACTCAGGTCAGTTGTACTTAGTCCTGACACAGCTGAAAAACCACAGGCAGGGGACGTCCATGAGGCTGCAACAAATGAGAGCGACGTAGGAAATGTCACCTCTTTTATACACTCAAGCAAAAAGAGATAAGCAGTTTCCTCCTAAAACAAAATGCTAATTGTGAAAAACAAAACTCTTTATTATAAAATACCAGACACTGCCAACAGCTATGTCTGATCTCTCCTGCAGCTTTAAAACTTTTTGGATTCATGCCCTAATGTCACTGCTCTAGCAAGATCCAGGTGTTTCTAATTCCTTGTGTTTTTGTACCAACAAAAATTTGAATGACGATACTTTTTTCCTCCTGGAAAATTGAATACTCTGAATTTTTATTCTTTTTTAGTTTTAATCCCTCCCCCAAACAAAACAAAAACTGTAAAAACCTTCCATCCACTAAGCTGTAGCACATCCTGCATGGGCATAGTGACAGAGACAAAAAAAACTGGTCTTGATTTCCAACTGACCTTATGTTAAGCCATGACAACATAGGTGTCGTGCCTCCACCAACAATCCAGACAGTGAAGAAGACGATGAGGAGAGTGGTCGTGAACATCATCTGGCGAGCATAGGATGCCGTGTCTCGGATGGCCAGTGCAAATGCCATTGCTCCCCTGAGGCCTGCAAGAACCAAAAAAGATCTCTTGGTTAAAAGGACAAATGACAAGGTGCCCTCAAATCCACTGCTGCCGCTCAAGGCTTATAAACCATATCCATTTCTGCTTGTAGAGTCAAGTTGTTTTATTCTGAAAGAAGAACCTTAAAGGAATGTATTTTTCTCCTATTTGAAGTTCTTTCACAAAATATGCAAATGCAATAATAAAAACACTACACTACACTACTTTGTACAGCACCTTTTAGAATAACACTTTTATTGCTGAAATAATTCTGCTAGTAATATGAAATAGAAAGAAATATAAATAAGAAATAATAATTTAAGTTCTTCATGTCTGTGATCTAAGCATTACCTATGCACTACATAGTCATTATAAACTTAAGAAACAGACCAGATATGACGATGTCAAATGCATATTTGTGGTTCATGTACTATGAACCACAAAACAGTTCAGCATTTCCTTAGCAAAGCCATGCAGAGAAGTAACAATATAACCTGATCTATATCAAGGGTTTTTCTGTAAAAGGTGAGATATCAAATATTTTATGCATTGTGTACCACAAGGAAAAATCAAAGATATTATGTAAATACTTATATAAAAGGCAGAAAAAAATTTCCACAAAATTTGATTGACAAAAAAAAGAATATAATTATATTGAGTATAGTTTGTTGTAATACAGGGCTACTAATGAAAAGAAGGAACTGGAGGGGGATGTTTTGCTTAATTGGGTTGCAAAGTTATTGTCCTCTATCGTCAAATGCATTGTAAATGTATTTGTAAAAGCCATTCTGAGCCCTGAGAGTATATGAACACAGGCAGTAGCCAGATTTGGCCCAGGCATCAGAGTTTGCTGATCCAGATCTACAATAACAGTGTTAAGATTAAACACCATTTTAATGTTCATCTTTCCAAGCTATTTTTTTCACTTTTAAAAAAATTTTAATTAGTTTCAAGTATACATAAGCTTTGCTGTTCCCTCCTCAAACCACACTCATAACTTGTTGTAAAGACCGAATCCATGGTCTTTAATACATATCTAGTACAAATTCCTATTCACCATGAACAAGACTGTGTGTATATTATATGAAAATGAAAGTTATAACCACTATATCTGTACATTTTCCCAATAATGCCACAATTAATCTGAGAATTTCACTACAAACTGCTAAAGAGTGACTTGACAAAAGTTATATTAAAAAACAAAGTTAATGTTTCCTATTAATCTGTCCCAGTGAAGTATTTATACATATCTAGATTGTCCTACAGCCAGCTATGTAATTGATTAATCAATCAATACTCAAGCCTCTAAAAGAGATGTTGTCTCAAAGCTTGGGGGTCAAAAAGAAATAATATTTGCTACATTTTAATTTTATTAGGTAAATATTGTAAGCAATATGAAAGTGAAACCTCAGGTAGTTTTGCCCTTGAAGAATGAGTTTCTTTCCATACCCAGATTCCTCCCAGCAGAAAATAATTTCCATGGGAGATATCTTTAAACAGCACTGTGTACCTCTCAATCTTTTAGTGCAGAAAATAATGAACATATTTTAAGTTTATCTAGGTAACTGAGCCATCTCCAATTCATCTTTCTCTTTTCTGCCATCATATTCCTAGTATGTGGGGAGGATCTTGTCACTGTCTTCCTCAGAAACCTCTAATGTTTCCCAGCTGCTCCTGAGTACAACCTAAACTCTTTGGCACAGCATTGGAGCTTCTCCATGGTTCCCAAAGTGTTGTCCTCAAGCCAGAAAAGCAGCAGCAGAGAACATGTTAAAAATGCAAATTCTCAAGGCCACCCCATACCCTCAGAATCACACTCTGGCAGTGGGGCCCAGCAATCTGGTTTAACCAACTGAACGGGTGATTATGATGCAACCTAAAGGTTCACACCAGTTTACATGCAATTTTCCTTTCCAACCTCATTGTCTTTCTACATTACCCCATGTGTCTTACAT